ATAAGCAGTCACCCTTCATTCCTCCCTGCACCCCAGCCTCTAGCAATCACAAAATTACTTCCTGACTCTGTGGATCTGCCTATGCTGGACATTTCAAACACGTGGAATCAAACAATATGTGGATATATAACCTTTTGTTTACCCATTCATCAGTTGATGGACTACTCAACATTTGGGTTGCTAGGACAGGTTGATTCTTGAAGCCAAGGGACGATAATGGTCAAGGGCACCTTTTCCAGGAAGGCAGCCAGCCTTCTGACTCTGCCTCTTCCAGACCGTTTCATTCCACCCTGCCCAGTCCAGAGCCAGGGTTAGTCTTTCAATAATGCTTATAGACCCACTCTGTGCCAGGCTCTGGAAATACAAAAGCGAATGTCAGGGGGTCCCTGCCTTCTGGGACCTCAGATCTCTCGGTGTGAGAGACCCCCGTTAAAGAAATCTTCAAAGAGCTTTTGGCACAAGAAAGCAACCACATATAGGATTTAGCAAGGGATAGCTCCTGCAATATCTAGAGCACTTGATCCTTTTTCTCACCCAACTTCGACAAGAACCTTTCAGACCAGTCAATCTTTTAGAGGCAAATAGGTCTGACCACTCACTAGCCTTTGAGTGATAGTGAAAAAGTGACTCACCCTCTCTAAATCTCAATTCTTCATCTGTGAAATAAACCTAAGAATATTACTTACTTTATAAGATTACTGAAAGGATTAAATGAGCTCAGTCAAGTAAAGCAACCAGCACACAGTATGTGCTCTTCCAAGCATTAACTAAAATACAAGCTAAAATAGTTCTTCTTGACGCTAAAAGTCTAGGCTCTGCGATTCCTCAAATTCTTGACCCAGCTTTGAGTCAAGAAACCACTGAACACTGATCTCAAGATGAAAGGACCTGTGTAGCACATGAACCAAGGAAGACCAAAAACTACTTATCAAGATTTTAATTTTAATTAGCCAGTTGTAGAAACAGCCAGAGCTTCTTAGTTATAATTATAGATCCACTCTATACTCACTTCTTAAAAAATGTGGAAGAGAAGGGTCTGTTCAAAAATTCCTCCTTTTCTTCATACTCTCATGCTTTTCCAGTTCTTTCCGACACTAATTCTTTCTTGGCCTCTTTTCTCTGGCCAGCACTGAGTTACCTTCCATTTTCCAAAGGCCCATATTGAAAAACAATCAAACAGAACTAAACTTTGCCAAATGACATCCGTACAAAGGCCAAGCACATAAAAAGAGAGAGGGAGGGACAGGGAAGGTCATATCTTTGGAAGCACCATGGAATTACAGGCTAATAATAAAAGAGAATGGAAAGCAGATTGCACAACAAAACAGGAAGCAAAAGGCACGGGCGACACAGAGGATGGGGACCTGCCCTAGGTCAGGACCGCCAAGCCTGCGTATTTGGTATTTTCCTAGAAGTACTTATTAGCACTTGACTTAAATCACTGTTTGTTTATCAGCTTGTGGGGAGGGGCAGAGGCCTGCAACTTTCTAAAAAAGATTCAGTTGGTTTGTTTTAAGGGAAACAAGATCTTCCCTTTTGTTCCTACCTCTCAGAAATTCTACAATCTGTAACAGTCCACCGTGACTCAAAATCATTCAAAAGCAGCTCACTGATTCAATTCCAGTGGGAGTTTATGTTCATGTATCCACCGCCACATATCTCACTAATGGAAGCATGAGCTCTGGACTCAAAGACCAAGATTGAACTCCCAGCTCTTCCATGTCAGAGCTACATGACCTCATGCACGTCACTCCGCCCGACTGAGGTTCTATTTGTTGTAAATCTGTAAAACAACAGAATACCTGACAAACAATATGCATTCAATACATGTCAGGTAAAAACAATATTTAAACATTAAAAACTCATTACCCCTCCTTCTAGGCTGTGTTTTCCCCATGGTTCTTGGAGGTCTCTAAACTCAATTGCTTGTTTCTAGCCTTGCTCCTCTATACTCCTTCTCCACACAGCAACCAGAGTGAGCCTGTTAAAAGGCAGGGTAGGTTGTGTCCACTCCGCTGCTTAAAACCCTCCAATGACCCCAACTCACTCCGACTAAAAACCATCATCCTTACAATGGGCTGCAAGGCCCTCCATGACCTGCCCGTCTCTCCCCTTGCCCCTAGGACGTCTTTAACCTCATCCTACTACTCTCTTTGCTCACACCCCTCCAACCATCCTAGCCTCCTAGGTAGCCCACAAACCTGCCAGGGGTGCTCTTTCTTAGGGCTACTGAATTTGCTGTCCCCTCCACCTGGACCACAATGTCCCCACTCACACGGCTCTTGCCCTCACCTCCTTCAGATCATTACTCAACAGTCACCTTCCCAGGAAGGCATCTCTACAGACCCTATGCAAAACTGCAGCCCCAGCCAACATTCCACATTCGGCTTCCCTCCTTTATTACAATAAAATACGCATTTTACTTGGTTATTTTATTGTTCCTTTCCACTAAAATTTAAGTTCCACAAGGGCAGGGGTTTTTGCTTTTCTTGTGTACTATATTCCCAGTGTTTAGAAGAGCACTGTCCAATATAATCTTTAATTTTCTAGGAAACACATTTTAAAAAGTGAAAAGAAGCAGGTGAGATTTCAATTATATTGCATTTAACCCAATGAACTTAAAATGTTATCATGTATTAGCATATGTTATTATATTAATATTATGCTTGTTATAGCATTTTAAAAAATCAATGACATATTTTACTTTTTTTCAAACGGACTCTTCAAACTCTGGTGTGTACTTTGTACTCCATAGCATATCTCCAGTACTCAACCATACTGGACAGTGCAACTCTAGAGTAGGCACTTACATATTCATTGAATGAAAGAATGTTCTCCCAGGAAGAGGCATGTATGGTATAGTACAGAGTCTTTTAAACTTCAATTTCATTCTATATTCACATTTTTTTGGTATGATATATATATATACTATTTTTTCCTTAAAATGTCATACTTTTTATACTTGAAAAAAATGCTTTAAAATAAAATTTTATATTCCTTCTATTAATGGGAGAGAATGGGTCTATGGGTAAAAGGCCTGAGCTTGAGTCCCTGCTCAGTCATTCACTAGCTCTGGAATCTAAAGTAAGAACTTCACTAAGCCTCAGTTTCCTCATCTGTGGAATAGGGACAATCCTGACCTTTGCAGGATCATGGTCACAAGATGTTGGTAAAAGCTCCCTGTAACCAAGGAAGTCATCATTAACTAAAAGCGACCAAGAAGGGCGCCTGGGTGGCTCAGTTGGTTAAGCGACTGCCTTCGGTTCAGGTCATGATCCTGGAGTCCCGGGATCGAGTCCCGCATCAGGCTCCCTGCTCGGCAGGGAGTCTGTTTCTCCCTCTGACCCTCCTCCCTCTCATGCTCTCTGTCTCTCATTCTCTCTGTCTCAAATAAATAAATAAAATCTTTAAAAATAAAAAAATAAAAAAATAAAAGCGACCAAGAAGCTAACTCAAGCCTTTTTCCCATGCCCATCATTTTCATACGGACCAATATAACACAGAAAATGGTCTGATAAGAGAAGAGCTAGGTCTTGGGTTCAAATCCCTTGTCCTCCACTTATAGCTGTGTGACATTTAGAAAGTTATTTATTCAGCAAACATTTACCAAGTGCCCACAACATGCCAGCCACTAGGGTAGTAGCCAAATAAGATATGAACACTGCCCTTGAAGGATGTGCAGTCTAGGAGGAAGAAAGACACCAGTAAACAAGAAAGCAATAAATTGTTCAAAAAAAACAAGTCGCTCTCCCTTAGGTCTGTTTGTTCATTGTGAAATGTGAATAATACCTTCCCAACCTAACTCAAAGGCCGCTACAGAAAATAATTTTTAAATGTTTGTCAAATACTCCAAAAACTTTAACTCATATGTCAGCAAAGTCATTTTTTTTCCCTACTTGTAATCCAAAACGACTCCAGGTCCTGTGAATGTCCACTTTGAACATTCACTCCAGTTATATCACATCTATGAAATTCATTTCACTTCTGCAAATTTTCGTAAACATGAAGAAAAAGAGGATAAGCAGCTTTTACACAGGTATTTAATATCAAAATCATGATTCAGGTCACAATGCTAAGGAACACAACACAGACGTCTCACTCTACCTAGTTACAGTTTGTCAAGATAAGCAGTCACATGATAAGGGAAACTGAATAATTTAAACCGAAGAAAGAAGAAAAGTCATAAAGCAGTACAGACACTCTGTCCAAGATTTCTGCAGTCACTGTTGCTGAGGTAATGCTGGGCTAGGTCGTGGTCAACAATTTAGGCTAAAAGCCATTTTATGGCCACAGCAAAGTGCCCACACTCCTTTTTTAAGCCTCGAAGTTGATGTGATCTGGGAAAAGTCTCAAAGAAAGATGATCTGAAGGGCTAGGTTACCAAGAAGTGGAACCCTACCCAACCAGGACTAAGTGGGTGTGACGAAAGCAAAATGATCAAAATTCTGTGATCCTTCCTGAAGTTTAAAAACTGAATGGGACCGAAATCAAAGTCTCGGGTAACAATCATTTCCAAAGAGAAAGGAAGGAAGAAGGCTCTCAGCTGGGTTCACACATCTTCTTCCTGATTTCTCCTTTCCCTCCAGGTCATGCACTCAGGCGCCCCCTTCCAGCTCAGTCCAGGTCACCCCTTCCTCAGTCCCGATCCCTCCACAAAGGTCACGCCTCTTCATCCCTGGCACCCAAGCTCCTTTCCCTCTTCCGGCAGGACCCGCTGGCCGCCGCACCCCCGGCTGCCTCCGCGCCCACCTCCAAGCACCCCCGCGCGCGGCCCGCCGCACGCCCAACCCGCTCGGGCGCGAGCCGGGACACCCCTCCTCGGAGGCCGGAACCGCCGCGCCAGGCCCCTCCCACAGGAAGCCGCCGCCCCCCGGCGCCCGGGCCGCACCGCCCCGGCCCACCCCGCGCCGCCCGCCGCCCTCCGCCCGCTCCGCCCGCTCCGCGCCCCCGACCCGCCCGCCCGCCGCACCCCCCGCGCCCATCGCGCCGGCGCTCGCTACCTGCCGCGGCCCCAGAAGCGGCGCCCAACTCCGCTCCCACTTCCGCCTTCCACCGCCCTCACTCGGGCCGGGTCACGTGACTGCGCGCGGTCACCTGACCCGGAAGAGGCTGGCCGGACCCGCAGGTGTGGGCAACCTAGGCCTGGCTTGGGCGCCTTTGGCCGGGAGCCGGCCCTCTTATTCTTCGTGTATGTCAGAGTGGAAGGGGTTTCCACTCACCAGATGGTCCCGGAGCAAGCAAATAAGTTGAAGGCTCAGTGTCTGCCAGGCGCTTCATTCACTCCCTCAACCCCGGAGGCGGGTCTATCATTAGCCCTATTTTACAGGTGAGAGGAAGCCAATCAAGTCAACAAATATTTACTGAGCTACTTAGGGTTACCCAGTAAATACGGACGCCTATTTAAATTTGAATTTCAGATAATCAACTATGCAATATGTAGATGTGCCCCAAATACTGCAGGAGAGTATTATACTATAAATACTCCCATGCCATATGTCAAAAAAAATTATTTGTTGTTTAGCTAAAAATTGGGGCATTCTGTATTTTTACTAGCTGTATCCGGCAACCCTATACCTAGTAGATACCAGGCACCATTCTAGGCTCTAGAAACAAAAGTAGGGGCGCCTGGGTGGCTCAGTCATTAAGCCTCAGGTCATGATCCCAGGGTCCTGGGATGGAGCTCTGCATGGGGCTCCCTGCTCAGCGGGAGGCCTGCTTCTCCCTCTCCCACCCCCCCTGCTTGTGTTCGCGCTCGCGCGGTCTTTCTGTCAAAAAATAAATAAAATCTTAAAAAAAAAAAAAAAGAAAAACACAAAAGTAGCCTTTATGGAGCATCTGTTTTTGTGACATAGAGCTAAGATAGGAAAGCTTCAAAACCCCTGGATGGGTCCATAAAATGCCCCGCCACACCAAACTAGACCCCATTCTCTTAATCTACAAAGCAGATAGAATTTTATTAATTATAAAGCACATTTTAAATCAACATTCTGTACTAATAGTATGGACCTTCAGCTTTGATAAGTTGAATGAAGACTCAATTTTTTCACTCTTAATCACCATTAACTAAAATTAATACTAATCAATTAGCCTTAAGCACTGTGAATTAATTATTCTGTTATTTTTGGGGTTTCGAATTTACATGGATCCTATTATGCATGCAAATTAAATTGGTTGAGCACTTTGTCTCTACTTTTCCTATTCCCATTCCAAATCCAGGAGATGGTATTTCATGGAGATACAGGCCTCTCTTAATATCTTAAACTCTACATTAATTCCATTTATGAAACTATTAAAACTTCTCTAGTTCCACGGAAGGAAGTTTTACTTATTCCAGAGGAATTAGGAAAGGATTCCTTGATTTGGTGGCATTTGAATAGATGTTTACCAAAAGAAAGGACTAGGCAGCGGCGCCTGGGTGGCTCAGTTAAGAGCCGTTAAGCCTCTGCCTTCACCTCAGGTCATGATTCCAGGATTGTGGGATGAGCCCCTCATGGAGCCCCGCATTGGGCTCCCTTCCCTGCAGGGAGCCTGCTTCTCTCTCTCCCTCTGCCTGCCACTCCCCCTGCTTGTGCGCTCTCTCTCCCCCTCTCTCTGTGTCAAATAAATAAAATCTTAAAAAAAAAAAAAAAAAAGGACTAAGCGAACATGCTCACAATTGTACGTTAAAGGAGTAAAACCTAAGAGATAGATATATATATATATATATATATGGTCACCTATGAGGCCCTACGTGATCCCTCTCCACACCTCATCTCCAGTTACTCTTTTTGGATTTGACTTTCCGTTTGCCTGGAAAGCTCTTTCCCCAGAATCAGATGGCTGACTCCCTCATCTCTCATCAGATGTTTGCTCAACTATCACAGTAAAGCCTTTCCTGATCAGCCTATTTAACCATGCAACCCATCTCTTACTTCCCCTCCTACCAGTCCCTGTTCCTGCTTTATTTTTTTTGTCCAGATTTCCTCCATACTTATCACTATCTGACATATATGAATGTATGCATGTGTGTGTATGTAATCTGTTTCCCACTACAAGAATTATGAGACAGGAGCCATATCCCTAAAGCCATATTCGTAAAGCAGTGCCTGGCTCACGGGAGGTCTCCTTAAATAAACTGCTGAATGAATAGATTTCATCAACCTTTATTGAGCACTGAACACATTGCTGTAGATCCCACAGTATAGAAGACTTTTCTAAAAGACACACAAAAAAATCTAAAGTACGTTTTCATAAAAGTGTCCCCTGAAAGTTAAAAGGTAAATTGAAATGTTCATTTGAGGAAAAAGACCCCTAAAACACAGTCCCTGATTTCCAACCTACTTAAAGAAGACATACAATTGGGGCCCCAGGGTGCTCAGTCAGTTAAGCGGCTGCCTTTGGCTTGGGTCATGATCCTGGGGTCCTGGGATCAGGGGTCCTGGGATCAAGCCCTCACATCACATCTGGCTCCCTCCTCAGCGGGGAGTCTTCTCCCCCACCCCCGTTCCTCCCCCTGCTCATGTTCTCTCATTCTTTCAAATGAATAAAATCTTAAAAGATACACACAATTAATTACAATGCAAAGCAGAAATAATAACTGCTCATTGAGCAACAGAACTAAAACGTCTTAAGTGTGATAAGAAAGAAAAGTTCAAATCTGTCCTTGGGGAGAAATCTGATTTGAGTAATCAGAGACTGGTTTACAGAAGGGACCACTGAACTGCTTCTTAGAGACTAAGCAAGTAGTGATTGGCCAGCACAATTTTCTGGAAGAAGAAAAAACAAGGGCAAAGACAGAGACAAAAAGTTTGGGACTCTCCCAAGAATGTTCAAAGGAATTCTAGGGATATTTATTGATTTCACATAGTATTTCTTCTGCATCAAGTTTTTCTCTCCCCCTAGCCCACTGTTAAGTGCATAGTTTCGTAGCCTCTACGTGTACAGTCCTGGAAATGAACTCAGATCTTCATTGGCACACAAGTAAGATCTCTCTCTCTCTCTTTTTTTTTTAGGATTTTTATTTATTCATTTGAGAGAGAGAGAGAGCACAAGTTGGGGGCATGGGTGGAGGAGCTGAGAGAGAAGCAGATTCCCTGCTGAGCAGGGAGCCCGATGCAGGGCTCAATGTGGGGCTCGATCCCAGGATCCCAGGAACATGACCTGAGCCAAAGGCAGATACTTAACCACCTGAGCCACCCATGCGCCCCAACCTTTCTCTTTTCATAAAGGGCTTCACATGTAAAAGTTGACATTATCTCCAAATGAGTCATACATTGAATCCTTCTACATGTGTTTCAAAGTGTTAATTTAATGCAAACTGTTTAAAGTGACCATAATTTTTGTAATAGTGTTAGATTTCTTTACCTTTTGAAAAACCATAAACTTCAAAAAATTGAAGTGTTTCAGGGCTCACTTCACCTGTGAGAGACCCCGTCCCCAGACACCCTCGGCTACCACACATACTACCTTCAATTTTCTGAACACTACTTGGACTTTCATACCTCAGTGCCTCTGCCCTCCTTGTCCTTCAAGATCTGGCTCCAAAGTCACAGACTCTGAAGGTGCCCCTAGACACTACACTAAATACCATTCTGTTGGGGCGCCTGGGTGGCTCAGTCTTTGGGCGTCTGCCTTCAGCTCAGGTCATGATCCCAGGGTCCTGGGATCGAGCCCCACATCGGGCTACTTGCTCCGAAGGAAGCCTGCTTCTCCCTCTCCCACTCCCCGTCCTTGTGTTCCCTCTCTCGCTGTCTCTGTCAAATAAATAAATAAAATCTTCAAATAAATGAATAAATACCATTTTGTTATATCACCCAACCCATGGTGGTATAAAGGAGCTCCCAATACATATTTGTGGAATAAATTAGATTCCTTCTAAGGCTTTAGGGGACTTGGAGACAAATGTTACAAGGTAACAGAAAAGCAATTAAAATACTATCAAAAATGACAAAAGATACAAGGTATCAAGAGACCTTTTGTAAATATTCTCAGTGTTCACTGGAGAATGAATGGTTCAAAGCCTGATCTTCCTTTTCCTGACTAGTCCCCTAAATCTGTGATTCTCAAGTGTGTCCTCAGCTCAGCTCAGCAAGAGCAGCATCACATAAAACTTATTAGAAATGCAAATTCTCAGGCACTGCCCAGATCTACAGATCAGAATCTGAGGAAGAGGCCTAGCCATCCATTTTTGGTTTTGGTTTTGGTCTTTAAGATTTTAAGTAACCTCTACACCCAATGTGGGGCTCAAACTCAGGACCGCAAGATGAAGAGTTGCATGCTCCACAGGCTGAGTCAGCCAGGCACCCCTACCCATCTGCTTTTACAAGCTCTCCAGGTGATTCTGATGCACACTCCAGTTTGAGAACCATTGATCTAGATCATTCTTCTTCATCCTAGGGTTTACAGAATTATTACTGCCAACTTTAATGAACCTCTTCTATTCCAGTTCCCACATTCTTCAGTCCAGTTCCCACATCCTCCCTTTTTAGGCAACAGGAGCAATCAATTAAAGAAGGAGAGAAAAGAATACTAGTGTTGAGTGGATTATATAGTCTAGGCATGAGATTAAAACTTATTTAGAGTAAGGGGAATAAATGTAGAGGGGTCACAGGCACCCCAAATATTTCAGAAGTGGCATCAAGGGGAGTACTGGTTTAAAAAGAAGGTATGGAGGTAGGGGGTACCTGGGTGGCTCAGTCAGTTAAGCCGTCCAGCTCTTGGTTTCGGCTCAGGTCATGATCTCAGGGTAGTGGGAATGAGCCTGGTATAGCGCCCCACGATCAGCGGGGAGTCTGCTTGGGATTCTCTCTGTCCCTCTTCCTCTGCCCCTCACCCCGACTCATGCTCTTTTTCTCTCTCTCAAATAAATTCAATCTTTTTTTAAAAAATGAACGTGGGAATTAAGATGACTCACATTCTTACCTTGAGTGCCTTTGTTGGAAATGCCACTAGTAAAAAATAAGAACTCTAATGAGTGAAAAAAGTTTAAGCAGGTTAAGAGATAATTATATCAGTTTTAACCTTCCCCCTGAGTGAAGATAACCTAAAATTTTTATTTATTTTTAATTTATTTATTTTTAAAGATTTTGTTTATTTATTTGACAGAGAGCACAAGCAGGGGGCATGGCTGGCA